ACATTAACAATGTCTACACTGTATTTCTGATCAATTTGATGTTATTTTAATGGACAAAAAAATTGCTTTTCTTTCGAAAACAAGGACATTTCTAAGTGACCCCAAACTTTTGAACGGTAGTGTATATAGAGTCTAGTGAGTGTGTGTAGGGTCAGTGCAATATAGAGTCAGTGCAGATAGTTCGGGTACCATTAATTGACGATTTAGCAGTCTGGCTATTTAGCAGTCTTATGGCTTAGGGGTAGAAGCTGTCTCAGAGCCTGTTGGTCTTAGAGCCGATGCTCCAGTACTGTTTGCTGGATGGTAGCAGAGTGAACAGTCTATGGCTTGGGTGGCTGGAGTCTTTGGCAATTTTTCAGGCCTTCCTCTGACACCGCCTGATATAGAAGTCCTGGATGGCAGGAAGCTCGGCCCCAGTGATGTACTGGGCTGTCTGCACCACCCTCTGTAGCGCTTTGCAGTCAAGGGCGGTGCATTTGCCGTACCAAGCAGTGATGCAGCCAGTCAAGATGCTCTCGATGGTGCAGTTGTAGAACTTTTGAGGATCCGAGGGCCCATGCCTAATCTTTTCAGCCTCCTGATGGGAAGAAGCGCTGCCTTGCCCTCTTCACAACTGTGCAGGTGTGTGTGGACCATGTTAAGTCCTTAGTGATGTGGACGCCAAGGAACTTGAAGCTTTCAATCCGCTCCACAACATCCCTGTCGATGTGGATGGGGGCGTGCTCTCCCCTCTTTCTCCTGTAGTCCACGATCAGCTCCTTGGTCTTACTGACATTGAGGGAGAGGTTGTTGTCCTGGCACCACACTGCTATGTCTCTGACCTCCATCCTATAGGTTGTATCATTGCTGTCGATGATCAGGCCAGCCACTGTCGTGTCATCAACAAACTTGATGATGGTGTTCTAGTCATGCATGGCCATGCAGTTGTGGGTGAACAGGGAGTACAGGAGGGGACTAAGCACACACCCCTGAGAGGCCCCCGTGTTATAATTTATCATTGCGTTTGTTCTGTAATTTCCCCCCACATCACTGTAATGGCATTGTGTCATATGGACAGCCAAATTGAACTGGGACTCTTTTACGTGGAATATTTCTGAGGTTTGGAGATCAAGTGGCATGATTGGGATGCTCAGATCTGGAAGCTCTTGGTTTAGTCCCTGTGAGGGATGCATGAAGTTCACTGTGTTCATTAAGTTGCTAAGCACACACATACGCGCGCGCACACACACACACCACAGTGTTTCCCAGGTCACCACTGACAATAGTGGTGGGTATGGACGTGTTTAACTATTCTTGTGGGGACCAGAAGTCCCCGCAAGAATAGTAAACAAACACAATTTCACCAATTCTGTTAGTCCCCACGTGGTCAAATGCTATTTTTAGGGGTTTAGGGTTAAGGTTAGAAATAGTGTTAGGGTTAGAATTATATTAAGGGTTAGGGTTAGGAGCTAGGGTTAGTTTTAGGGTTAGGGTTAGGAGCTAGGGTTAGGTTTAGGGTTAGGCTTAAGGGGGGGGGGGGGGGGGGGGGGGGGGGGGGTGAATAACTGCAGGCGATAGAGCTTCTAAAAGACTGACATTCAATCCCCTTAACTTCTGCTCCCTGTTCGTCTGGCAAGGCCAATACCATAGCTTCTCTTTCTATCTGTGTCAGTCTGTGGATGTGTCCCAAATGGCACCCTATTCCCTTTATAGCACACTACTTTTGACCAGAGCCCAATGAGCTGGTCCTATGGGCCCCGGTCAAAAGTAGTGCACTATAAAGGGATTAGGGTGCCATTTGGAACACAGACAGTGTGGGTGGGTGGGTGCTTATACTTGTCCTACTGGTCTGTACTCAGTGACCTTTGTAGAGATTAGCAGAGTGTCAATCATAGACCCATAGAGCAAAACATCAGAACTGGGTTAAAAACAACCCAGCTCTGGGTAAATAGTGGACAGAACAGACATTGGGTTATTTTGACCCACTTAGTTGGGTTGTTTTCTTTGAAGACTGGAGGCGTGGCTTAGTAGGAGTGTGGCTGTCAGATAGTTATTTTTGGCCACCCATGAGAGTAAATGTCATTCCAGTTAATATTTTCTGTTGTGATCACATGTTAAGGTTAATTACTGATACTTTTAAAGCTTTAATGCCTATGCATATCTCAATGTTGGGATGGTCACCACTTTGTTCTTTAAATTTAATTGAAATGTTCCCTCAATATTTTTGCACATATATTAATATATTTACTTAATAACATGATTTTAATATTATAACAAAGTCATAACTCTCCAACAATGGGATATGCATAGGCACTTGAGGAACTGATAATCTTATGTAAGCCTCATAAAAGCTACAAAAATGTGATGGCAATACAACAGATCATGAACCGGAATGACATTTACTCTCATGGGTGGCCAAAAATTACTATTTGAAAGCCACGCCCCTACTAAGCCAAGCCTCCAGTCTTCTGATCTGACCTGGTGGGTCATAGCTTGATAACCCAGCATCAATAACCCAACAACCCAACTAAGGCTGCGTTCAAACAGGCAGCCCAATTCTAATCTTTTTTTCACTAATTGGTCTTTTGACCAATTAGATCCACTCTGAAAAGGATCTGATGTGATTGGTCAAAAAACCAATTAGTTGAAAAATATATAATAATTGGCTACCTGTGTAAACACAGCCTATGTGACTCAACTGGCTGGGTCAAAATAACCTAACGTGTGTTCTGTCCAATATTTACCTAAATTGGGTTGTTTTTAAGCCAGTATTTTTTGGAGTGTAGGATGCTTTCTCACAGGGTGGCCTGAAGTCACTTCATAATCTGTTGTCCTCTGTTATGATGATATTAAACAAGTGATTGGACTTTTATAGTCAGTGGCATAGCACATTATAAGTGTATTATAAGACATTATAAAGGACGTTATAAAGCATTATTCGTATGTACTTCATAGAAAGTGTTACCAAATATATGAAGTGCTGCACTGTTACAGCTTTAACTGGATGGCACAAAAAAAAAAAATGTATTTGTCTTAATATATAAATTGTGCTACTTTTCTTGAACAAGTAGCACAGCGTTAGCGAACACCTGGTAACGTAGTCTTTGGCAACTCTTCCTGTTAGCTACAATTATCTAATCTCAATACAATCTTCTCTATGTAAGCCTCCTTATCTGAACTTGTCAGAACTTGACTGTACAGACTCATGGCTGCCTTTGAGGATTCATTCATTCAATTGTGGTCTTGACGGGAGGCTTTAAGGCAGCCAGCCAGCCAGCCAGCCAGCCAGCCAGCCAGCCAGCCAGCCAGCCAGCCAGCCAGCCAGCCAGCCAGCCAGCCAGCCAGCCAGGCAACCCTCTCACCTCTGCTGCGGTAATGTAGCTGTCAAGAGCGATGGGAGGGCCCACATAAACATTTTATCTAATGGTTTTCGACATGGCACTCACGCACACACACACACACAAACACACACACACAAACACACACACACAAACACACACACACAAACACACACACACAAACACACACACTCAGGGTTTGGCAGACAACGGGCACTGTACGTTTTAGGATGTTTGTCTTTTTCAGGGATTAAAGGGATCCAGGAAATTCACTCACTGTCCTAGTTTCTGGGACGGGAGTCAACGGGAGTCAGCCAGTGACCTAGTTCTGATGGGGACATGGGGAAGAGAAATCAAAGGCATAACGCTGTTATGTTCTGTGGTGTTATGTTCTGTGGTGTTATGTTCTGTGGTGTTATGTTCTGTGTTTGGTGCCTTATTTGGAACCCTATCCCCTTTTGCACTACTTTTGAGCAGGTGCACTATTTTGACCAGGGCCTGGTTGAAAGTATTGCACTGTATAGGGAATAGGGTGCCATTTGATGTGCTCTGTGTGGACTCCCTGCGCACTTGTGAGACCAGGGCCTGCATAACTGCCTACCTGTCGCTGTAATCGGAGACGGCACTCACTGACAGAGAGAGAGAGTGATAGAGAGAGACAATTGATGTATGCATTAGTTTGTGGATCTTGTTTGTTTGAGCATTGATCTTAGCGTTAGGGCTTGATGCAGTGACACCCTACCTCATTACTCAGTACACATCTTTGTTTATAGACACTCACACCCACACACACACACATGCAGTTGGCCTGTTATGATTACGTAAAGGAGGTCAGGCAATAGAGGAGATCAGGATGGCAGCTTTCAGCCACAATAGACTAGATCAGTAGGTCAAGTGAAGTGACCAACGGACAAATCTTTTTAGTGGTTAAACTAAGCTTTGTTAAAGATGCTCCTAATCTAGATTCTACACTACTTGTTCATTTGACAGCAAACCTAGCTAATCCCCCTGTGAACTACTCAGTCACTACTGTACTTAATCTCGTTCCCATACACTTCCGCCCAAATGCTTCCGCACAAACTTGGCCTTCCTTAGCTAATACAGAAGACCGGGAGAAACTCCCGGCGCATAGGCATTGGCTTAATCTGCTTAATCTACCAACCAATCATCTCCCACAACACCTTCCCCCTAATCCTCCCCACGCCTCGCAATTGTGTGTTTCGCTAAAATTAAATGATGACAAATACAAATACATACTCAGTATGTCACTCTCATAGAAATCTATGTTCACTCCCACTAAGGCCAATAGTTGAATAGTTGATATCCCAGGCTTATATGCACTGTGCGCAATAGCCTGGAGATGAGGTTACTACTGTACTGTACGTACTTGCAGAAATGCAACAAAAAAAGTTAGAACAATTTATTTTATATGTTTGTAGTTTTCTCTGACTTTTTATGTCGTAACCATTTTTCCCCACGTTCCCTCTGCACTGTTGTTAATATATATTTTTTGTTTTCATAATTTTGTAGTTTCCTCTGTAGTTTTTGTAGATTTCAAACCAGTTTGTCCCACTTCCCCACTGCAGTGTCATCAATATATTTTGTCCATAATTTTGTAGTTTTCTCTGTATATTTTGTAGCTTTTTCTAACCAGTTTTTCCACGTCTGTCCCCCTCGGCAGTGTCGTCATGCATCACCACGTATAAGAAGATGCCTCCGCCGGTGCCGCCGCGCACCACCCCGCCCAAGCCCTTTATTTCCATCACGGCCCAGAGCAGCACCGAGTCGGCCCAGGATGCCTACATGGACGGGGGGTCAGGCCCCCGGACCCACATCAGCACCTCCCAGCCCGGCCTGTCCAACTCCACAGAGAGCATCGACAGTATGAAGGTATATCATATAATAAAGTATATTGTATATTATGAAAATATTATAAAACGTAACGGTATAGCAATAATCTGATTTTATCAGTGTCATTTTGTGTTTATGAAATGTGTGTTTTTGTCAACAACAAAAAAATATATATATACATGTATATATATATTTTTTTACTATATTTGATTGTTATATTTTATTATTATTATTATAATAAAGGCCCTGATGGCAGCTATCGAGGCAGCTAACGCCCAGGTCCACGGCCCAGCCAGCCAGCATGTCACGAACAGCACCATCACTGCCACCACCACTGCCTCCAGCGACAGCAAGAGAGACGCGCTCCGGAAGTGCCTCTCCATAGGGATACAGGTCAAAGAACAGATACAGATATGCCTACAACCGTATTGACCAAACAATGACCACATGCTGACCACACACTGACCTGTGGTCTGTTCTTAATGGACGTATCTCGGTTAACCCAGAACTAAATTATTGCGTAATTTGGTCAGATTCTACCATTTATGTTTACATAGTCTGTCCAGGAGAGATTATTAACTGACTTACCTGTATAAATAAAGTTGAAATAAAAATAATAATCTGTGTGCTGTTGCAGGTGGATGGACCAGAGGAGGTTGGGGGGACGGAGGAGCACTCCAAGTTCCAGTCAGTGGGCATCCAGGTGGAAGAGGAGAGATGGTGAGTAGCGAGAGAGAAAGCAAGAGAGGGAGCGTGTGAACTATTTTCTGTCATTCGTGTTAGTGTTTTTCTTGTATCCTGTTGCAGTCTGCTGGTGTCTCTGCTAACTGACTGTCCACTCATTGTGCATTCAGTTGGCACCTCTCTCTGACACTCCCCCTCAGGCCTGAGAGCTGTATGTATATAACTGTGTGCCTTGGGGTTCGGCATAGTGACTGTAGGCTGCCGGGTCCCCCATCCCACCCACACCTCACCCCACAACAGCTGTCCCCAGCTCTGAGGAGTTTGGGCATCAGAACCCCTTGACTAGGGGGCCCATGCATGCAGTGACAGATGGGGGAGTGGAGGATGTGTTGGAGAGAGGGGATAGGGAGGGGGTGGGGGCAGTTAGTTGACAGCCATCTGTTGCACCAGTCATTGTGATGTGGCCAGGCCACACAGGACAGTTTTATGTCAATGTCCTGTTCTTTTCAGTACATGGTCATGTACAATCCCCCTCAAGCCCAACTCCCCCTTTGCCTGCCCTACACGTAACAGTTCCTATAGGTCCCCTATCTCCCCCTAAGCCCTTATACTAAAGCCTGTATAGCATGCCAATTTACCACCTCATTGGACAACTGCCCTGGTCCCTGACTGACTTATACAAGGAGCATTTGCACAGGCGGGAAGTCAGGGAACGTTCCTGGTTCCTGGAGTGTTAAAATATGTCACGCAGCAGGAAGTTATGTGTCAGTGTGTCTGCCTGCGTAACTCCCATCCACTTAGCACAGTAACCCCTCTGTTAGTCAGAGCTGAGGGGAGATGACCAATTTAGAGACTGCACTAGACCCAGTAATCTGATTTCATACTGTACACAGAACATGGTTAGGAATCAAAGAGCACAGTCTCAACCTACCAAGGTCATGTCCAGGACTGCAGTTTCAGAGTCAGATGCAGAAATCTTGTCTGTGTACCAAATGGCACCCTATCACCTATAGTGCACTGCATTTGACCAGAGCCCTATGGCTGGGCCTATTTGCCCTGGTCAAAAATAGTGCAATACATAGAGAATAGTGTGCCATTTGGGACAAAGTAATCTGGAGTTTTTCCTCAAAGAGCTTTCCACAGATGACTAGCCAAGCATTGAAAAGGAGGCACATCTCCAAGCAGCCAAGGCAAACATTAACTCCTGTAGACACTTCTGCTAGTCCAGTGGCTCTGGGGTTTAATGTCACACATGTGCCTTCCCTTGGTACATGTTTGATTTTGTGTGTGTGTGTGTGTGTGTGTGTGTGTGTGTGTGTGTGTGTGTGTGTGTGTGTGTGTGTGTGTGTGTGTGTGTGTGTGTGTGTGTGTGTGTGTGTGTGTGTGGTGTGTGTGTGTGTGTGTGTGTGTGTGTGTGTGGTGTGTGTGTGTGTGTGTGTGTGTGTGTGTGTGTGTGTGTGTGTGTGTGTGTGTCCCAGCAGGGCCGTCCTGGGAGGTCATGGTCTGGGCAGAGTGCCCCTATACATTCCCAGACAGTGAGAGTGCATCTCTTCTGTGGCCCTACCCCACTCACAGTAAATATGTGTGTGTGTGTGTGAGTGTGGGGGGTCATAACCTCACCTCAGTGTTTGAACTAGGCTTAAGCCTGCCAAACTGAGAGGTAGTGGAGGAGAGCAGTAAAAGAGAGGAACACTACAAACAACCTGGCTGCCTTTTCAAGACATCTGTCAGCTGTCTGCTCAGACAACTTAATGTTGTCTAATGTAGGTTATTATCAATAATATCACACTATGATTATTATATCATTAACATATATGCTACTGTATGAACTGAAATGTGTCCTTAAAAATAATTCTGGAATAACATAATTGTATGAGTTTAGACAATGTTCAGAGCCCTAAACTGTACAAGTGTACCAAGTTTCATGCTTTTATGAAAAAGTGAATGATTTTTTTACATATCGCCTGGAATACAACCAGTGGTGGAAAAAGTACCCAGTTGTCACCCAGTAAAATACTACTTGAATAAAAATCTAAATTTGGTTTTAAATATGCATAAGTATCAAAAGTAGATGTAAGTGCTAAAATATACTTAATTATCAAAGGTAAAAGTAAAAGTATGAATAATTTCAGATTCCTTATAAAAAAGCAAACTAGACGACACAATGTTCTCCTTTTTTTTCTTTTTTTTGGATAGCCAGGGGCACACTCCAACATTCAGACATAATTTACAAACGAAGCATGTGTGTTTAGTGAGTCCGCCAGATCAGAGGCAGTAGGGATGACCAGGGATGTTCTCTTGATAAGTGTGTGAATTGGACCATTTTCCTGTCCTGCTAAGCATTCAAAATGTAACGAGTACTTTTGGGTGTCAGGGAAAATGTATGGAGTAGAAAGTACAGTGTATTCGGAAAGTATTCAGACCCCTTCCCTTTTTCTACATTTCCACGTTACAGCCTTATTCTAAAATTAATTAAATTAAATGTTTTCCTCATCAATCTAAACACAATAGCCCATATTGATCAATTTTTGCTAATTTATTACAAATAAAAAACTGAAATAACATATTTACATAAGTATTTTTGACCCTTTGCTATGAGACTCGAAATTGAGCTCAGGTGCATCCTGTTTCCATTGATCATCCTTTAGATGTTTCTACAACTTGATTGGAGTCCACCTGTGGTAAATTCAATTGATTGGACATGATTTGGAAAGGCACACACAGTTGACAGTGCATGTCAGAGCAAAAACCAAAACCATGAGGTCGAAGGAATTGACTGTAGAGCTCAGAGACAGGATTGTGTCGACACAGCACGGCACAGACCTGGGGAAGGGCACAAAAAAATTATGCAGCATTGAAGGTCCCCAAGAACACAGTGGCCTCCATAATTCTTAAATGGAAGAAGTTTGGAACCACCAAAACTCTTCCTAGAGCTGGCTGCCCAGCCAAACTGAGCAATAGAGGGAGAAGGGCCTTGGTCAGGGAGGTGACAACCATCTCTGCAGAACTCCACCATTCAGGCCTTTATGGTAGAGTGGCCAGACAGAAACCACTCTTCAGTAAAAGGCACATGACAGCCCGCTTGGAGTTGGCCAAAAGGCACCTAAAGGACTCTCAGACCATGAGAAACAAGATTCTCTGGTCTGATGAAACCAAGATTGAACTCTTTGGCCTGAATGCCAAGCGTCACATCTGGAGGAAACCTGGCACCATCCCTACGGTGAAGCCTGGTGGTGGCAGCATCATGCTGTAGGGATGTTTTTCAGTGGCAGGGACTGGGAGACAAGTCAGGATTGAGGGAAAGATGAACGGAGCAACGTACAGAGAGATCCTTGCTCCAGAGCACTCAGGACCTTAGACTAGGGCGAAGGTTCACCTTCCAACAGGACAACGATCCTAAGCACACAGCCAATACAACGCAGGAGTGGCTTCGGGACAAGTCTCTGAATATCCTTGAGTGGCCCAGCCAGAGCCCAGACTTGAACCCAATCGAACATCTCTGGAGAGACCTAAAAATAGCTGTGCAGCGACACTCCCCATCCAACCTGACAGAGCTTGAGAGGATCTGCAACGAAGAATGGGAGAAACTCCCCATATACAGGTGTGCCAAGCTTGTAGCGTTATACCCAAGAAGACTCGAGGCTGTAAATGCTGCCAAAGGTGCTTCAACAAAGTACTGATTACTTATGTAAATGTAATATTTCCGTTTTTATTTTGTAATACATTTGCAAAAATTATAAAACCTGTTTTTGCTTTGTCATTATGGGGTATTGTGTGTAGATTGATGAAGATTTGTATTTATTTAATACATTTTAGAATAAGGCTGTAATGTAACAAAATGTGGAAAAAGTCAAGGGGTCTGAATACTTTCCGAATGCACCGTACATTATTTTCTTTAGGAATGTAGTGGAGTAAAAATAAAAGTTGTCAAAAATATAAATAGTAAAGTACAGATACCCTTAAAAACGTCTTAAGTAGTACTTTAAAGTATTTTGACTTAAGTACTTTACACCGCTGAATACAACTCTACCAATTTCAATCTAACTTACAAATCCTCATTCTAACAGCAACTACTCTACAAAGATGTTCCTACTTATGTCATGACCCCATACATTCCATATGGTCAACTTATGGCGGCAAATGGGGTAGGTGAAGGTTGGATTTTTTCTACACAGCTGGCTTTCCAGTCACTGGTACCATGGAATGTGTGTGTGTGTATGGTCTATAGTGGTCCTAGTGATCAAACCATACGGTCCTCAACCTACATTGACCGCCTTGAAAAGTCAGTCAGAGACGGTCAGACCTTCTACTGCTTTATGGTCCTGTTTAAGAGGACAAAGGGAAATGGTCTGCAGCCCTAATGGCACCCTATTCCAGGGAAGTCAGGAACCAATGTACACAATCAGTTAGGAAAGCAAAGGCTAGCTTTTTCAAACAGAAATTTGCATCCTGTAGCACTAACTCCAAAAAGTTTTGGGACACTGTAAAGTCCATGGAGAATAAGAGCACCTCCTCCCAACTGCCCACTGCACTGAGGCTAGGAAACACTGTCACCACCGATAAATCTACAATAATCTAGAATTTCAACAAGCATTTTGCTACGGCTGGCCATGCTTTCCACCTGGCTACCACTACCCCGGCCACCAGCTCTGCACCCTCCGCTGCAACTTGCCCACGCTGCTTGCACCCGCCCACCTGACTAGAATCACTACTCTCGGCGGGTCTGACCTAGAGTATGTGGACAACTACAAATACCTAGGTGTCTGGTTAGACTGTAAACTCTCCTTCCAGACTCGCATTAAGCATCTCAAATCAAAAGTTAGATCTAGAATCGGCTTCCTATTTCGCAACAAAGCCTCCTTCACTCATGCTGCCAAACATGCCCTCGTAAAACTGACTATCCTAACGATCCTTGACTTCGGCGATGTCATTTACAAAATAGCCTCCAACACTCTACTCAGCAAATTGGATGTAGTCTATCACAGTGCCATCCGTTTTGTCACCAAAGCCCCATATACTACCCACCATTGTGACCTGTACGCTCTTGTTGGCTGGCCCTCACTACATATTCGTCGCCAAACCCACTGGCTCCAGGTCATCTTTAAATCACTGCTAGGCAAATCCCCGTCTTATCTTAGCTCACTGGTCACCATAGCAACACCCACCTGTAGTCTGCGCTCCAGCAGGTATATCTCACTGGTCATCCCCAAAGCCAACACCTCCTTTGGCCGCCATTCCTTCCAGTTCTCTGCTGCCAATGACTGGAACGAACTGCAAAAATCTCTGAAGCTGGAGACTCTTATCTCCCTCACTAACTTTAAGCATCAGTTGTCAGAGCAGCTTACCGATCACTGCACCTGTACTCAGCCATTCTGAAATTAGCCCACCCAATTACCTCATCCCCATATTGTTATTTATTTTGCACCCCAGTATCTCTATTTGCACATCATCTTTTGCACATCTATCATTCCAGTGTTAATACGAAATTGTAACTTTTTTGCACTATGGCCTATTTATTGCCTTCCCTCCATAACTTACTACATTCGCACACACTGTATATATATATTTTCTGTTGTATTTTTGACTTTATGTTTTGTTTACCCCATATGTAACTCTGTGTTGTTGTTTTTATCGCACTGCTTTGCTTTATCTTGGCCAGGTCGCAGTTGTAAATGAGAACTTGTTCTCAACTGGCTTACCTGGTTAAATAAAGGTGAAATAAAAATAAAAAAATCCCTATGTAGTGCACTACTTTTGACCAGGGCCCATAGATCTCTGTTCAAAAGGCTCTGGTCAAAAGTAGTGCACTATAAAGGGTGCCTTTTGGGATACACCCATGACATGCAGAATCCATTAATATGCCTGGGACTCCTAGTGATCCCTCCTACTGATGCGTTTCAGCTATTAGTGCTTAGAGTTTTACGTTTTGACCCCAAACTGGGATTGGGCTTATCCGGAATTAGCCTGAACAAACTAGGAGCTAAGAGAAGAAAACAATATAATACAATACACAAGTTCCACTGTAGCCACAATCCAGACTGACAGTCATCCAGTCTTGAAGCAGCTTTTCACCCAGTTGGAGAGCGGAGCAGAACAGAACAGAACAGAGCAGAGTAGGGCAGAGTAGAGCAGAACAGGGCAGAGCAGAGTAGAACAGAGTAGAGCAGTACAGAGCAGAGTAGAGTAGAACAGAACAAAACAACAGAGCAGAGCAGAACAGAGTAGAGTAGAGCAGAACAAAACAGAGCAGAGCAGAGCAGAACAGAGTAGAGCAGAACAGAGCAGAGTAGAGCAGAACAAAACAGAGCAGAGCAGAACAGAGTAGAGCAGAACAGAGCAGAGTAGAGCAGAACAAAACAGAGCAGAACAGAGCAGAGTAGAGCAGAACAGAGTAGAGCAGAACAGAACATAGCAGAGCAGAACAGAGTAGAGCAGAACAGAGTAGAGCAGAACAGAGTAGAGCAGAACAGAACAGAGTAGAGCAGAACAGAGTAGAGCAGGCTTCCCTTAGCCACTGAAGTGATTTGCAAGGCCCTGTGAAGGACTCCACCTGACTGCACTGTAACAAGAACCTGTGTTGCTTTTGTCTTTTATCTTCTCTCTCTCACTCCCTACTGCCGCCCTCTCTTTTCCTACACCACCCCCCCCCCCCTTCCTTCTCTCCCGCCCTCTCTTTCCCTACTCCACCCCCCCTCGCTTCCTTCTCTCCTCTCTCCCGCTCCTCTCTTTCCCTACCTCCACCCCCCCCCCTCCTTCTTCCTTCTCTCCCGCCCCTCTTCTTTCCCTACTCCACCCCCCCCCCGCTTCCTTCTTGTCCCGCCCTCTCTTTCCCTACTCCACCCCCCCCTCTTCCTCCTCTCCCCGCCCTATCTTTCCCTACCCCCCCCCCCCTCTTCCTTCTCTCCCGCCCTCTCTTTCCCTCCTCACTCCACCCCCCCCGCCCTCGCTTCCTTCTCTCCCGCCCTCTCTTTCCCTACTCCACCCCCCCCCCTCGCTTCCTTCTCTCCCGCCCTCTCTTTCCCTACTCCCCCCCCCGCGTCCTTCTCTCCCCCTCTCTTCCCTACTCCACCCCCCCCCTCGGCTTCCTTCTCTCCCGCCCTCCTCTTTCCCTACTCCACCCCCCTCGTTTTCCTTCTCTCCCCCCCTCATCTTTCCCTACTCCACCCCCCCCCCTCGTTTTCCTTCTCTCCCGCTCTCTCTTTCTCTATTTCTATTTTTTCTCTCTCCGTCCCTGTCACTCCCTCCATCTCTTTCCCTACTCCACCCCCCCCCCCCCCCTCTCTCTCTCTCTCTCACTCTCTCTCTCTCTCTTTCTCTCTCTGTCTCTCAGAGTCCAGTCTGCTTGTGTTTGGCCTTGCCCCTCTCTGCCCTGACACAGACAGGAAGTTGCTAGGAGGGAGCTGCTATAAAGCAGGCTGAGATCATTATGACTGCACACCTGCTCAGAGCACAGTTACTCTTTAACTGCCGCGAGCACACACACACGCACTCACACACACACACCACACACACACGCACACATCCAGGCGCTGGTAAACCTCGACAGTGAGTGTGTTTGATCTCTCCCGCTCCTCTCCCCTCTTGCTCTCTGTTCATGGAAGAAGGGAGATGAATGGAGCAGAGGAGGTATAGATGAATGGGTAAAGTGGAGGAGGAGGGACTGGCCGGAGATGGGGTGAGGCAGATGGATGGAGCGACTTCAGGGTCTGTGTGTGTGTCACCCTGTGGGCAGGTCATGTCAGAGAGAGAAGAGAGAGATAGAGAGAGAGAGAGAGAGAGCGAGAAGAGAGAGAGAAGAGAGAGAGAGAGAGAGAGAGAGAAGATAGAGAGACTGAGGAGAGATCTAGAGGAGAGATGCGAGAGAAGGAGTCTATATCGCTAGATCTATCGAGTATTGTATTGGGGGTGGCAGTTAGGGAAAGAGATGTTTGGGAGGAAAGATTTTCTGTCATTCCCGTTTAGCCGGGCTGTGACGGTCACGGAATTTCGTCAGCCGGTGATTGTCAAGCAAATAACTGCCGGTCTCACGGTAATTGACCATTAATTAACATAAACACATTTAGCATCTCCTGGCTTCCACACAAGCCACTGATGCAGGCCCTTGGAACATCTACATTTAAAAAAGTCTAATACAGTGCCTTGCAAAAGTATTCATCCCCCTTGGCGTTTTTCCTATTTTGTTGCATTACAACCTGTAATTTAAATGGATTTTTATTTGGATTTCATATGGACATACACAAAATAGTCCAAATTGGTGAAGTGAAATGAAAAAAATTACTTGTTTCTAAAAAAATAAATAATGGAAAAGTGGTGCATGCATATGTATTCACCCCCTTTGCTATGAAGCCCCTAAATAAGATATGGTGCAACCAATTACCTTCAGAAGTCAAATCATTACTTAAATAAAGTCCACCTGTGTGCAATCTAAGTGTCACATGATCTGTCACATGATCTCAGTATATATACACCTGTTCTGAAAGGCCCCAGAGTCTGCAACACCACTAAGCAAAGGGCACCACCAAGCAAGCGGCACCATGAAGATCAGGGTTGGGTGATAAAAAAATATCAGAAACTTTGAACATTCCACAGAGCACCATTAAATCAATTATTAAAAAATGGAAAGAATATGGCACCACAACAAACCTGCCAAGAGAGGGCCGCCCACCAAAACTCACGGATCAGGCAAGGAGGGCATTAATCAGAGAGGCAACAAGGAGACCAAAGATAACCCTGAAGGAGCTGCAAAGCTCCACAGCGGAGATTGGAGTATCTGTCCATAGGAACACTTTAAGCCGTACACGCCACAGAGCTGGGCTTTACGGAAGAGTGGCCAGAAAAAAGCCATTGCTTAAAGACAAAAATAGGCAAACACGTTTGATGTTCGCCGAAATGCATGTGGGAGACTCCCCAAACATATGGAAGAAGGTACTCTGGTCAGATGAGACTAAAATTGAGCTTTTTGGCCATCAAGGAAAATGCTATGTCTGGCGCAAACCCAACACCTCTCATCACCCCGAGAACACCATCCCCACAGTGAAGCATGGTGGTGGCAGCATCATGCTGTGGGGATGTTTTTCATTGGAAGGGACTGGGAAACTGGTCAGAATTGAAGGAATGATGGATGGCGCAAATATAGGGAAATTCTTGAGGGAAACCTGTTTCAGACTTCCAGAGATTTGAGACTGGGACAGAGGTTCACCTTCCAGCAGGACAATGACCCTAAGCATACTGTTAAAGCAACACTCAAGTGGATTAAGGGGAAACATTTAAATGTCTTGGAATGGCCTAGTCAAAGCCCAGACCTCAATCCAATTAAGAGTCTGTGGTATGACTTAAAGATTGCTGTACACCAGCGGAACCCATCCAACTTGAAGGAGCTGGAGCAGTTTTGCCTTGAAGAATGGGCAAAACTCCCAGTGGCTAGTTGTGCCAAGCCTATAGAGACATACCCCAAGAGACTTGCAGCTGTAACTGCTGCAAAAGGTGTCTCTACAAAGTATTGACTTTGGGGGGGTGAATAATTATGCACGCTCAAGTTTTGTGTTTTTTTGTCTTATTTCTTGTTTGTTTCACACAAAAAAAGTATATACATATATACATTATATATATTGTAGACTATAGTTTACTGCAGAATTCTATATTAAGTACAGTGTGTGTGTGTGTGTGTGTGAGAGAGAGAGAGAGAGAGAGAGAGAGAGAGAAGAGAGAGAGAGAAGAGAGAGAGAGTGATAGGGAGAGAGACGAGAGAGAGAGAGAGAGAGAGAGAGGAGAGGAGGAGAGAGAGGAGAAGAGGAGAGAGAGAGAGCGAGAGAGACGAGAGAGAGAGAGAGAGAGGAGAGAGAGAGGAGAGGGAGAGAGAGAGAGAGGGGAGAGAGAGAGAGAGAGAGCGTGAATGATTTTCTGTCATTCATGTTAGTGTTTATCTTGTATCCTGTTGTAGTCTCCTGGTGTCTCTGGTTGCTGGCTGTCCACTCATTGTGCATTCAGTTGGCACCTCTCTCTTTAACACTCCCCTTCCTCTGGCCTCTCATTCATCACTGTGATGGAGGTGGGCTGCTGCATAGAACAAGCCAAGTGGTGTGTGTGTGTGTGTGTGCACGTGCGTGCTTTCGTGTGTGTACATGTGTGTGCCCGTCTGTGTATTTTGAAAAGATGTTATCTGTGTGCAAGTGTGTGACTTTGTGGCTGTGTGTTGGCACTTTGCTCTGAGACTTGGCAAGAGGAGTCTTACAGGGGCACAAAGCCTCTCGAGCTAAATCAAAAGCTGCACCCCCAGCTGTACAGCAGGGCCCTGAGGGTGGGTGGGTGTTATCTGTGAGACTCAGCCCTACAGCAGGGCAGGGTGACTGATGAGGCCACGCTCCATCGCCTCTGAATCAGCCAGGTGACCAAACGCCCCCATGACACCCCTCCCAAACACCCCACACCTGGCTGATCTGATCTAGAATCTGTGTTGATATACTAAGCCTGCATGTCTTCTATTAACCCAACATCCACTAACTCTGATCTCTAATCCGTGGTTCTGTGGTTCTCTTTCCAGTTACCGCAGGATGACCAGGTCCAACAGTGTGACCACGGCGGTCCAAGCCGACCTAGACGACCCTGACTACTGTCCCGTCGATGCCCCAGAGATGGTGATGCGCCACTCAGCCACCATGCCCCGCCAGCACTCCCGGGATGCCGCCACCTCCACCGTCTCCATCCAGGGCTCGGGGAACCACTACCACGCCCTGACCGTGGAGGAATACGGCGAGGTGGGTTTGGACCCATCCATCCTGCCCCCGCCAGACCCCTGGATGGACCAGGTAGAGGACCCCATGGAGGTGGTGGGGGGACGGGGGTTGATGTGTCCCAGGGACGGGAGGTGGTTCCTTAAGCTTCTCCAGGCCGAGATGGAGCGCATGGAGGGCTGGTGCCGACAGATGGAACTGGATGAGATGGATAACGAGCTACCGGAGGAGAGTGAGTGGGACAACACACGTGCACGTACATACAAAACAATATCAACCCAAGAACATTGAGCTAAATATGTGCAAACTGGTGCAAAAGCTATGCATTGGGGGGTGTTGATGATGTGAAGGTCATATAAGTTGTTTTCCCTCTCTTTGTATCTCTGCGTTTCTCCCTCCTTCCCTCTGTCTGGCTGTGTCCTCCAAATGCCCAAACAGACTGAAGGAAATTTTCTGAGTCCCAAAATGGCACCCTATTCCCCAGATAGGGCTCGATAGGGCTCTGGTCAAAAGTAGTACACTACATAGGAAATGTTGTGCCATTTGAGACACGGCCATGGCATTCATAGCAGCGAGCCACAATGCCTGCTTGTTGCCTGCTATCTCCTCTGCAGACATAGTCATCAATAGGGAGCTAGCTGCTGGACGGGTCCGGCCACACATCTGACTAGTGATTCTGCAGTGTATTTGCCCCCTGTTAAGTCGAGGTCGTGTATTGAGACGTGAGGCTGGTTTCGACATCCACAACTCATATGTCATGGTGGGAAGTTTGTTTATTTGGTGTGCAGGATAAACATTCCCCTTCTCATCAAAATTCACAGTTTAGGTTCCCAGTTCCCACTCTTCACATATTTAAAGCCTTGCACTCATCAAAGGCAAAGTCTGTGTGTGTGTGTTTCCACAGTACTAGGGAAGATCCGCAGTGCAATAGGCAGCGCCCAGCTGCTTATGTCTCAGAAGTTCCAGCAGTTTCGGGAGCTGTGTAAGGAGAATCAGGTATGTAAAACACACACATTCACACACACACTGCAGTATTAGTCTACTGTGTCAGCAGGCCCCTCAGAGCCAACTGTCACATAATGCGATGATCTATACAAGCTTAGAATTGACACTCAGTGTCAGACCAAACACCGCTATGCATGCAAATTCTAGCTGAATAGGATTCTAGTCTATCACCACTCACCACTCAAAGCATAATAACTTTGAAGTGTGGAGGGACAAGGTGAAATAGTCCCAGACTAGTATGGTGATGACATACTGATAGGATAATGGGAATGGTTCCAAGTCCAACACTGTCCTGTGCAAAGCCATGTGTTTAGAGAGTTCAGACAAGTTTTAGAATGGATGCCATGTCAGCGCCTTTGACCATTCCATTTATTCATTCATAAGTATTTGGAAATCTTGTTTTTATTCTATACAATCAGTTACATCGCATTGTTTAAAAATCTGAAAATTCTGTGAAGTGCTGTTGGTCAATGGATCGTTCTTGAATTGCAATGGCATTTGGGCATAGCATTTTGGAAATCAATTCTTGATATGTATTTATTTATATGGATTTGGGTGCATCTTCCCATTCTACATCAACTAATATGGTAGCTTAATGACTTTAAATCATTTGTATCATTATGATAACATTGTGTCACAAGTAGGAATAGTAACACCAATGATGGTTACACCAATGATACATTGTAGGTAAATGTAGAAATTTTCTGAAATGGATGCCACAAATGCTCATATCTAAGGTCATCAATCATTTAAAGGTGCAGAGGTGTGTGGTATGCCAGTGGTGTTCAGGTGTTTCGGCCGCGCCCACTAATGGGCCACACCTTATCTTAATGAGTGCTTGTTTCCTTTGAAATGGTGTCTGTTTGAATAGACTAAAATAAATATATTTGCATGTGTAAAAAAACATGGAATGCTAGCTCGATTAAGGCAGCCCCCCGCACCTCTTTGATTCAGAGGGGTTGGATTAAATGCGGAAGACACATTTCAGTTGAATGCATTCAGTTGTACAACTGACTAGGTATCCCCCTTTCCTTTCCCTTTCCCATCCTGGTGGTGCAGTAGACTAATACAATGGATAGAGAACCGAAGATCATAAGTTCAAATCTCACTGATGCCATGTCACAATAAATAAAATGCGTTCACATGACTAATTAACTAAGGAAATGAATTTCCATGTGTTCTAACAGTGCTTGGAGTTCAAAAAAGTTAACCCAAAATAAGCTATCTGTGTTATTAAAAGTCTTATTGAAACATTCAGTAAAGGTTTTAAGGAAGTTATTCTAAAACCTCCAAATAACCTATCATTTCAGTTCTAAGAGCGTTAATTAAACCTCACAGGAAAACTTTCAAGGAAGCAGAGTTAAACGTTCTCAGAACCTCCCTGCAACCTAAAAATAAACGTTCCCAGAACAGACAAAATGTTTTAAAAAACATTTTCAGTTTCACCAGTCAGGAAACTTACAGTATGGCTTTTGTTCCCACAACCAATGTCAAACCAAAAACTTCCAAGGAACCAAATGTGCTAGCTGGGTAGCTGTTATTGGCAGAGAGGTTTGGAACTCTCTTTTTTATTGGTCTATTTACCGCCTGGTGATGTCACTAGGCAGGCCAAAACGCCATCCCACCAAAACAGGCACTAAAATGGCAATATCATCATTTTCACAATTTCATAGTATTATTCCAACCTCATAGTGTGGAAATATATATGCAACATGGGAAAATCACATTTGTGACTGCACTGGGCCTTTAAAATAATTTTCTAAAGTGATTTGATTAATCATTTTCCTCACAATGTTAGTTCCCTACATTTACATTCTACATCCCCAAAACATGTCACTATACTCTACACATCACTACTGGGACAAGCCAATTTGCTTACCCTAAGTACTTTAAACAATGCATAAACAAAAGTTTTGCAGTATAAATTACGTACTTGCATTATGTTTTGTCATTGATAAACAGTTCAATATAAACCAAAACATGTTGTGTAACTGTAATTAATTTTAGTATTTTTCATAGTTACAAAGGCGAGGGACGCAAATGCCCGCGCAATTCAATGACGACCCGAATATGAGGAGCCAACATGGCTGCCATAGAATTATGTAGTGCCATGTAAATGCAAGAACCTCAGTGTCCAAACTCTAAACTCTATACTCAAACTCTGTGTGTGTACCAGAACCCCAATGCCCACCCGAGGCCCAGTTCCCAGGACCTAGCAGGCTTCTGGGACATGCTGCAGCTGTCCATCGAGAACATCAGCCTGAAGTTTGATGAGCTGCACCAACTCAAAGCCAACAACTGGAGACCCCTGGACCCCCCAGAAATAAAGGTACCACTCAATGTAGTGGACCCTATAGACCAGATCCACCTTAAAGGGATAGTTCACCCAAATTACTAAATGGCATATTGGTTATACTGTAAGCAATCTATGAATAACATGCAACAGCAATCCATGCTTTGGTTTTGTTCATCTGGCCACTGTCTCCAAATGCTAACTTTTTAGCATTTTTGTCCACCAATACAGTGCATTCGGAAAGTATTCAGACCCCTTGACTTTTTCCACATTTTGTTACGTTACATCCTTATTCTAAAATTGATTAAATAGTTTTTTTTATAATACCCCATAATGACAAAGCAAACATGTATAATAAAAACTAAAACTAAAATATGACATTTACATAAGTATTCAGACCCTTTACTCAGTACGTTGTTGGGGAGTTTCTCCCATTGCTCTCTGCAGATCCTCTCAAGCTCTGTCAGGTTGGATGGGGAGCGTCGCTGCACACCTATTTTCATGTCTCTCCAGAGATGTTCGATCGGGTTAAAGTCTGGGCTCTGGCTGTGGCACTCAAGGACATTCAGAGACTTGTACCGAAGCCACTCCTGCGTTGTCTTGGCTGTGTGCTTAGGGTCGTTGTCCTGTTGGAAGGTGAACTTTCGTCCCAGTCTGAGGTCCTGAGCTCTCTGGAGCAGGTTTCATCAAGGATCTCTCTGTACTTTGCTCCGTTCATCTTTCCCTCTATCCTGACTAGTCTCCCAGTCCCTGCCGCTGAAGAACATCCCCACAGCATGATGCCGCCACCACCATGCTTCACCGTAGGGATGGTGCCAGGTTTCCTCCAGATGTGACGCTTGGCATTCAGGCCAAAGAGTTCAATCTTGGTCTCATCAGACCAGAGAATCTTGTTTCTCGTGGTCTGAGAGTCTTTTAGGTGCCTTTAGGCAAACTCCAAGTGGACTGTCATGTGCCGTTTACTGAGGTGTGGCTTCCGTCTGGCCACTCTACCATAAAGGCCTGATTGGTGGACTGCTGCAAAGATGGTTGTCCTTCTGGAAGGTTCTCCCATCTCCACAGAGGAACTCTGTAGCTCTGTCAGAGTGACCATCAGATTCTTGGTCACCTCCCAGATCAAAGCCCTTCTCCCTCGATTGCTCAGTTTGGCCGGGCGGCCAGCTCTAGGAAGAATCTTGGTGGTTCCAAACTTCTTCCATTTAAGTATGATGGAGGCAGCTGTGTTCTTGGGGACCTTCAATGCTGCAGACATTTGTTGGTACCCTTCCCCAGATCTGTGCCTCGACACAAACCTGTCTCGGAGCGCTACAGACAATTCCTTCGACCACTCAATGTAGTGGCTTGGTTTTTGCTCTGACATGCACTGTCAGCTGTGGGACCTTATATAGACAGGTGTGTGCCTTTCCAAATCATGTCCAATCAATTTAATTTACCACAGGTGGACTCCAATCAAATTGTAGAAACATCTCAAGGATGATCAATGGAAACAGGATGCACCTGAGCTCAATTTCGAGTCTCATAGCAAAGGGTCTGAATACTTATGTAAATAAGGTATTTCTGTTTTTTATTTGTAATAAATGTGCAAACATTTCTAAAAACCTGTTGGTCCTCTGTAGCTCAATTGGTAGAGCATGGCGCTTGTAACGCCAAGGTAATGGGTTCGATCCCCGGGACCACCCATACATAAAAATGTATGCGCACATGACTGTAAGTCACTTTGGATAAAAGCGTCTGCTAAATGGCATATCATATTATATTATTATTTTCGCTTTGTCATTATGGGGTATTGTGTGTAGATCGATGAGGGAAAAAAATAATTTAATCCATTTTAGAATAAGGCTGTAACATAACAAAATTTGGAAAAGGGGAAGGGGTCTGAAAAATGTATGCATTCACTAAACTGTAAGTCGCTCTGGATAAGAGCGTCTGCTAAATGACTAAAATGTAAAATGTAAAAAAAATATCTGAATACTTTCTGAATGCACTGTATGTCATTTTGTAAATTGGGTGAACTATCCCTTTAAAGCGTGGAAGTAATACAATACAATGAAAATAAAATAAAATTGGTCCTGCATGCTTCTACTTTCACTGTTGTTGAAATACGTTTCAAGCTTTTAATTGTCCACAGTTACTGTAGATTTTGGTTCAATGTAGCATGAGGGTGTTGTAATGCATGTCATTTTATTGTTGTGATGTTGTGCGATAGCCTGCCTGACGTGACTGCCTATCTGTTGTTTTTTGGTTTGTTTTGTCATTGTTTTGTTGTTGACAGTGAGCTGGGTTTTGAGAAGTCACTCTACCTGCCATGCACCTTGGGGCCTAGCTGACCTCGCAGGCTGCTCTTACCCCACGCACATGGCCGCCAAACCTACAGCCGTGCACTCTCACAAAATGGCCGGCACCACCACCAACCATAACCTCACTCACGTGAACCCTGTTGCATGCTCTCACACCATGCGAACTCCAACAAACTGCTGATGTCATGTCAGTCATGCACTCTCTAACCCCACACAAAATGGCTGCCGTTGTGCCCCTACTGCCAGAGGCAGAGGATGGCCTGTAACTGTAGTTGTTTGTCCTCCCCCATCCATCCAGGAGAGAAGGTTCGCCCCTCCAGTGCCAAAGAAGCCCCACAAGGGCCGCCCTCCCCTGGCCAGGGACCGTTCTCTGGAGAGCTCCGAGAGACAGCGGTTGGAGGCTCGCAAACGCCTGCTGGCCGCCAAGCGGGCCCTCTCGGTCCGACAGAGCTCGGTCACCGAGAGCGCAGCAGACAGTATCGAGATCTACATCCCAGAGGCCCAGACCAGATTATGAGACACACACAGACATAGACACACACACACACAGCCAGAGACACGCACACACACATACACACACAAACACACACACCTACAAAGGCGCACACACAAACACACACACACACCGAGTGACACTGTCAAGACACTCATCTGCAATGAATGGCGAGGGTAGGGTGCTTGTAATATAATCACATGTTTATTGACTTCCACAAAAACGGTCACAGCAGCAGGTGGAGTGAGAATACTGTATATTTATTAACTTTTCCTCTTCTCTCCATTTGAACCTCTCCTTGAACTTTCAGCTTTTCATGTAGCTCCCCCCACTCCTTACTCCCAAAGATGTTTCTTCTTGTGATGCCAATTCTTCTTACCGATGTTCCACCAACCAAAAGGCCTGTTGTCACCCAAACAGGTATACCAGTACCACAGTATTGATGCATAATGTATAATGTTTCTGATTCATTTGAATAGAAGGTGGGTTAGGGAGGGAGGGGATGTGTACTAGTGGGTATAGACCGAGCACTGTCAGGGCACACTAGGTAATCCTGTTGGGTGTCAGACACCCTGAGACAGTGGCTTGTGTCCCACATGACACCCTATTCCTTAAATAGTCCACTACTTTTGTGCACTACCTGGTCAAAAGTAGTGCACCACATAGAAAAAAGCCAGCCTCTCTCCTCTGGTGACCCTGGGTGAGGCTGCTATTTTGACTCACAACACAATGACAGCAGACTATAGAGAAACCCAGTCTCTCTCCCCTGTTGGATGCTACCGTCACAGGATTTATAACACACACACACACATACACACATGTGCAAGCACACGCACACACACATACCTGTTCTCGAGAGAGGTAATTGACCTAAACCTGTTTGAGTAGTTAGGAGAGAACACCTGAGACATATCTAAGACCTTCTGGAGACAGTACAATACATCAATACATCTATGTAGCAGCAACCATTGCAACTGTCAGTTTTAAATTCATTTAGGAGTCAATTCAATGTAAGTTGAATTTTCACTTAGTCATACATTGATGTCAATGGGAGACTAAGTACAAATGTCACTTAAGTATAACTTAGCATTCGCCTCTTATTATTGAAATCTAGGCAACAGCAGATCTATATCTCTTGGCTTTGAAATCACACACAAAGGCATTTTAGTCAAAGAAACCATTATTGGTTTTGATACAATGATTTTAGTCCAACACCTAGATGTTCTATTGGAGCCACCTACTTTTATTAAACATTGTTTTGTTATTGTATTTAAAACCGCAAAGCCGAGAGACTTTGTGCAGTAGCTGAATCAACAGAGTCGGAAGGTGTTCAACGTAGACAATAATATCAATGTGCAAAAATGACTTTCAATTGTAAAATCCAAACCTTTTATAAAATGGGATTTGGGTAAAAGGAGTAGTGTAGTGATTCATAGTATTTACCAATAACCAATACAGGTCTTTGTAGAGTAACCCCAAAAAATAACTAAAAACAAGAAAGCCGGTGTGTGTCGGACAATGACACTATTCTTCCTGTTTTTCCAAATGCGGTCTGTCCAGTTGCAGGAACAGTGGCTTGATTCTGCTGCACTCTATGTCTGATCTTTATGGGTTATAGGTCACAGGGTGTCACGTCAATCTGTCTACCCCCAGATGTGGTAGGATTCTGGGGTCGACAGCGCTAATCCTGCCTGGCAGTCAGGAATGGAGTTAGGTGGGCACATGACAAGCTCTCAGAGAGAGGTCAGTGCTGCGAAAGCAGGGTCTGCCAGAATAAAAGTGGTGATTTAGTGTGTGTGTATGTGTATGTGAGTATGTGTGTGCATGCGCACGTATGTATGTTCACGAGCCTGTGCGTGTGTGTGTGTGCCCGTGCGTGTGTGTCTGTGAGAGCAGGTGTATGTGTGTATCAAGTGTGTATGGGAGTATACGGGGTTAAAGTGTTGTTTCTGAAATGCTTCCTATTTTTCAAGGTCCAAACAGGCCTTTCTTTTCACTATGTACAGAATGCATCCCAAATGGCACCCTATTCCCTATATAATGCCTTACTTTTGACCAGGGCTCAAAGGGCTCTGGTCAAAAGTAGTGCACTATGTAGGGAATAGGGTACCATTTGGGACGTAACCTGTGAATAACGTAGCAGAATCGACATACTGTTAGTACTTTCCTAAACAAACTATCATTTTCAACGGAGCGATATATGCCTGTACAGACATTAACTGAAGAACATATTGCTACACATTATATACGCATGCTGACAGGAGCTAATTGATATGTTGTCATTTCATTCTTGTAGTTTTTTACTTATTTTATTCTGTTTATCATGTTGTGCTGAGAATATAATTTATCCTTAAGAAAAAAATCACCTAATACTGATGTTCCTTTACTTTAAGGCACCCTTTATAAAGGATACCTTAATGTAGTGTTTCCGTTGTTGTACATTACATTGTATTTTGTTATTCTATAAAAAAGGGACAGTGGGAATTATTTTCTTCTTACATCAATGTACCATCTCAGCATCCAAGCTGACATGCAACCATTTTAAAGTAATATGAAAATAATAGTGTTTTAAGGTTAATGGTGTTTTATATCCACTATTTATGTATTAGTCCTCAGAAAAGTATTATTACTGTTTGTTATTAATATTATTATTATGCACTGACAAGGCCCTTATGCTGTGTTTATCGATTATTATGATTATTATCTTTTTTGCTCTTTGACATGAAAGACCTTTTATTCTGTTTCAGTAATCAGCCTTAATTTATAATGTGATAGTCGAGCACAAATCAGCCTCAGGGGAAGAAAAATACCAAGTGTGTGTGTGTGTGTGTGTGTGCATAACCCAGGAAAAGGCTTTGTCTCATACTGTAAATAACCCAGTCAACAGGTTTGCGTCCCAAATGGCACCCTATTCCCTATATAGTGCACTACCTTTGACCAGAGCCTTATTGGCCCTGGTCAAAAGTAATGCACTTTATAGGGAATAGGGTGCCATTGGGGATGCATCCCTGAACATTACAGAAGGTCTGTGGTTTAATGGTTTAGATCAACTTCTCATGATTGATTCCTTTGTCAAAAGACATTGTTACGTCTTCTCTGCAACTCCAATCAGTTTGCATTTTCTTTATATGAAGTCAGCTACTCGTATGGGTGAGACAATCTTGAACACATTTGCTTACACAGGCTGTGGTCTTGGTTATAGACTTTTAAGGTTTGTGGGTGTTAAGCTATATTGTGCTATTATGTGGTCCTCTGTAGCTCAATTGGTAGAGCATGGTGCTTGTAACGCCAGGGTAGTGGGTTCGATCCCCGGGACCACCCATACGTAAAAATGTATGCACACATGACTGTAAGTCGCTTTGGTTAAAAGCGTCTGCTAAATGGCATATTATTATTATATTGAAACTGGTTTGACAGTTAGCATTTTGTGAAATTGGGTAACTGTTATTAACACAAGGACAAATCCCTGCTATCCACATATATGAGAAACATGTTCATGACTGAAGTTTAGAGAGAAAAGTCCAATTTGATTGTGATGATATTTGTATTTTTAGTAAACATTTATTTTAGAGAGAATATTCAAAAGGTAACAATAGTTACATACCTTTTTGCCCATTAGGTTTTAAGGTAATTTAATATGAATTGTGATGCTCTTTATATTTTTATTTCACCTTTTTATTATAATTAATTCAAATGTCAGTCAAATTATGAAGTTATTTATGGTTATTATAGTAACATATCAAAACCCTGACATTGCAGGGTGATTACAGGAAGTGGTAAAGAATGTTGGATTGTGGGAAATTGCCAAACTAAAGACTTTTCAACCAATCCTGGTGGATGCTTGTAATGTAGTCCATGTATAAGCATAAAACCATTCAAATTAAGATTTGTAAATAAATGAATGTTTCCCTATGTAAATGTAAAAACTATCAAAAACATATTAGGCAGATATACATTTTGTAATTAATGTTATTACACTGTTGATGTTAAGGCACGGGTACGGAAATAGATCACCATTAAAAACCTTGCCATTATCATATGCTAACCTAGTTGTGTTTATTGAAATGCACGCCGCACGTTTTCACTTATAACATAATAAGACAGATTTAAATCGTTAGAAAGACTGTCATTCTCCTCATGCAGAGGTGGGCCCTATAACTACATAGTTGTGTGGCCTTGATTTTGCCTCGTCACTCCTACTGCACATGGAGGCTTAGTCCCGAATGGCAACATATTATCTTTATAGTGCACTACTTTTGACCCTGGCCGATAGGGAATAAGGTGTCATTTGGGATGCACCCAGTGTATGGTGATTTTGTTACTCACACATCAATCAAGCTCAGATTCACAGGCTGACCTCAGTTTCCAGAGCCAAGAGAGGTGCCAGGGATTTCACCCTCCTCCTCAGCCCTGGGTTTCTCCATCAGGGTCATATTTACTAGTGCACACCGTAGCAAAACATTTTGCAAAGGAAATCCGAAAATCTGTATTCTGATTGGACAAGTTCAGGGAGTACCTCTCCTTTTCAAAACATTGTCTCCCTACTGAACATGACCCAGGTCTCCACCTCCACAGCAGCACTATCTAGCCTCTGTTGCTGGAGGTCTGTGATGACCCTGATTAGTGACGTGCACCATGGTGGGAGGTATCAGACCACCGCTGTCGGTATGTCACTGCTGATCTGTCATGCAGCTGGGATGCAGTGGTAAAGGTGAATTAAAGGTCAAATTCTATACAGTACATACGCCTGAGATCACCAATTACATTTTACATTTTTGTCATTTAGCAGACGCTCTTATCCAGAGCGACTTACAAATTGGTGCATTCACCTTATGATAGCCAGTGGGACAACCACTTTACAATGTATTTATTTTTTTGGGGAGGGGTAAGGGGGGGTAGAAGGATTACTTTATCCTATCCCAGGTATTCCAATGATATACAATCAGAATTATTCAGAACAAAGGACAATATTCGGACAATTGACCTCTGTTTTTATACTCAGTTTTCCTATTGTAGTAAAGAAATACTAGAACAGGCCAGTGCAGCAACAAAGCTGTGCATGCGAGAGGGATTGTCAGAGTAGCGAACCAATCTTAGTAAGGTCAATTGAGTCCGTGCCCATAGGATTGTACTGGCGACACAGGCAACAGCTATGCAGCCTTGAAAGACAACAAATAGCCAGGATTCACATGGTCTTAATCTGAGTCGTATTCACTTGCCACCAAACAAAAGGAAACGGACTGAAACAAGGAGGGACTACCTGAACTTGTCCAATAAGAGAAATTTGGATTCATTTTCCGTTGTAAATCGTTTGCTACGGTATGCACTAATGAATAAGACCCTGGCTGCTTTAAGTGTATTGAGGCACATCCACACACAAAACCCTGCCTGGCAGAAAAACGTTGACGTCTGCGGTTTGCCCACGCTAATTTATGCAGGATTATGCTAATGGCGGGAGCTCCGGTGAACCTAGCACACAAACACATACGTAGGAATGTCTCAGGATAGACTCATGAGACAGAATGACTCAGAGAGACAGACTGCCTGTAGAAACATGCACACACACAAAGAGCTATTTCTGTCATCTACCTTTTTTCTTCATGTAGTGACATTGCATGTTTGATGGAGCACATATCACTGTACAGCGCTGCGTTACTGCCTTTACGTGACTCTAGCGAGAAATTGCCGTAGAGATGATTGATGTAGGTAATAAATGGGGAGAGTTTAACAGTGAAACTGCAAATTATGTAGAAAACAAAACTTTATTTAAATCCCATATGTGACCCCTATTTGCCACAAACATTGCACAGTATGAAAATAAATCACATCATTGGGCGTTATGTCACATTAGCTATACACAAACATGGTCCTTTTTTGTACATAAAACGCTTTTTGGTGATTTAGAAAATGCTCTATTGTTTCCGCTGCTGGTGACATCACAAATGCAAAACAAATCTTAGTGTTATTCTTCCAATTGAAATTCACTGGCCGTCGCTACACATGATGTCCCAAATTGCACCCTATTCCCGATATAGTGCACTACTTTGTACTAATTTTGTGCACTATATCTGGAATAGGGTGCCATTTGGGACAGCCCACGAAGTGAGGAGGGGAGGAAGGCTCAGACAAGGAACCTGCTACATTGTTCATCTGAATGATCCCTCGGTATAGGAAAACGCTTAATCAAAACCAAAACGAGAGGTTTACTTTCTTTTAAAATATCAAAAGGAAAGATATAAAAAAAGTCCAACAAAAACTATACCCTTATCATGAAAAAACACAGAACACTTACTACAGTAGTGATAAAGTTCATCATCGATGCCAAGAGCAAAGTATGTTTTAAGACACTGAGATGAGATGGGGACCCTAACTCGGCCCTATTGTGCGAAAGGCCGAGTGGGAGCCATCTCAAACTGATCTCTGAAATGTAAAACACATCTGGAAACTACATATCCCATGGGGGGATAGCTCTGTGAAACTACATATCCCATCACGGGGGATTAGGTCTGTGTGGAGGAGAGGAGAACCACCCTCCTTCATCCGCAGAACACTTGTACGCTCTCATGCCTTGCTCTACTAAAATCAATAGGAAAAGTTATAAGACAGCCAGCATTTTTTTTTTGTCTGTCAATATTTTTTTGGTCCCGTCTGCAAAAAAGACACACATAGATACACGTATATATGACAAAATAAAAAAAGAACTAACAGCAAAGGCACCTTGATACAGTTTTGTACAAAAACAATCATCATTTATGATTTGTATACCAAAAATAAGAAATAATTCGGCTTTTTGTGTTGTGTTTGTTGCGCAGTCACTGAAGCCACTAAACTCATGCTAGGAGTTCAATTAGGGACAACATCTCTTTCCCGCCACTTTCTCTTTAAGACACCAGTTGTTTAGCCTGCAGCTCCATCTCTGCCGCCCGCTTGAGGGCCACATCCACAAGGAGCTGGAAGCCGCTGAAGTCCTGTGTGAGGTCTGGAGGGGTGGGGGGAGGGGTATTGAAGAGCCCACTCTGGGGGCTCAGGTTACCCTCCATGGTGGTGGTCATTGCCGAGGCGCCCAGCCCTTCCTCCTGGCATCTGAAGAGCCCCAGTGCTTCTGTGGTGGAATGCAGCAGCTCTGCAGCCCTACTGTGGTCTGTTTTCCTGCTGGAGAGTAAGCAGGAGAGGGAGGAGGGAGGGCTGGAGCCCTGTTTCTGCATGGCAGTGGTGGTGACAGTGGTGTGACAGATGACCGAGGGCCGGGGGGGCACTGTAGTGGCAGGCCCCGGGGAGGAGGAGGGGGACATCTTAGGGGACGATATGGCCTTCTGCAGGACGCTGGGGCTAGGGAGGCCTGCCTCGAAGCTGGAGGGGTGCAGCGCCCGCTGGTCGTAGCTGTCCTCTGGGCCCGTGGCGGCTGTGGCGTGCTTGGGCGACTGGGAGCTGGATTCAGAGAAGCCCCCGTCGCCTCCCTTGCTGCCCTTACGAGAGATGGTGAACTGGTTGGGGTCTTTACCATCTTTCCGCAGCATCTCCGGGAGGAGCCGACGACGCGCATTGATGAACCAGTTGCAAACCTGAAGGAGGATAGCAAATCAACATTTGTTTAAGTATATAGTATAGTTTCACAAACAAGTTGTCTCAATATACTTTACAAAAAATAATGGGAAACAGAAGACGAGGGGAAGAAAGGAATTACACTTTCATATTTCACATGTTGACATAAAAACAGGTTACATCATGTTAACATATTTGAATGACAAAGACACAGCTGTTTTTCTGTAGTACCCAAAACATGCATCTTATCGGAAACATCTATAAGCATATGTGTGGGGGTTGTACAACTTACTCTTGATTGTATATATTCTGACAAACCTATAGACAATATTTTAAAGCTCTTGTTATGCGAACTGTTCACTACCTAATAATTACACATAAACTAATGTTAACATTATATTATTTTTTAATCTAAAGAAAATGTATGTCCATAAAAGACAGTGCTTATTCTTTTATAAAACATAATTTGACATAAAAGTCATTTGTGATACTTCTGGTTTTCTCATCAAGAAACTCAAACTAGGCCTTTTAAAAGCCATCATGGTGTGAAACACTAGTTTGGTCTAAGGTCTTGTTGCCCTTCCCAATCCTATTGTCATGTGGATAAAGAGATAGTCCTCGCTCTCCCTCTCGCTCTCCCTCTCTCTGTCCCAGCCTATTGTCGGCCATGGATGGCTCACCGAAGCCTAGAGCTCTTAGTATGTAAATGACTCTGTATTGTTCCCAGACAGCTGGGCTGGAAGAGGGCTGGAGGGAGGGAAATTCCTGTGTGAGTGTTGCAGCCAAGCCCACACCAACCACAAAGCAGTGTGAGTGAGTTTCAGAGTGCTCGGTTCCTCCTAGTCACCATGTGTGCATCCCAAATGGAACCCTATTCCCTATGAAGTGCATTTTGACCAGAGCCCTATGAGAAAAAACATGTGGGGCCCTTGTCAAAAGTAGTGCACTACATAGGGAATAGGGTGCCATGTGGGATGGAGATCATGCCATTTCACTTCAGACGTGTCTCATCAGAGAGAATATTGCAAAGTCAAGCTTCCTTGAAAGGCCCTGCTGCCTGCTGTTCATTGTTAAGATTAAGATAACTGTATTGGTCAATTGCACACAAGGCCCAACCCCTCCGAAAGACACACATAAATATACAGGTTTTTTGGAGAGGTGTGGGGGGTTGCCACACTGGGCTCCCGGGGAGCTGTTGTTCGGTGGAGTTAAGTGCCTTGCTCAAGGGCACAATGGCAGGCAACAGCATCTAGGATTTGACACCAGCAACCCTGCCAGCTCACTTCCCGCCAGTGTGGTCCATTGGACCCAGGATTCGAACGGGCAACCCTCCAGTTGCTGGCTCTCCTCTCTAACTGCTAGGCTACCTGCCGCCCCTATTGTCCATGTGTCACGCTCTCTTTGTTTACATATTAGTGCATTACGTGTCATAAAACCGAGACAGGACGTTGCAACACAAGGTCATTGTATATTGTGTTTCCAGCCACTAGCTGTCATGCATGCTGCAGCCCTACTAGTCATCAGGTAGTAAAACTATGAACACCCTCTGAATACTTCAGAAATGTATCCTTCCTTCCTAATTTCCTTGAGAAAATCATAGCTCTACGTGACAAGATGGGTGAAAGCAAGGTTACATTCACCAATCCAACCAATTTAAATCTGTGATCACTTCAAGGAAGATAGGACAGAAAGATGTATTTAGATTGATGCGGCTCGTTAGTTAGCCTACCTGCAGTGTGGAGAGCTGCGTCTGCTTTGAGAGCAGGGCTTTCTCCTGTTCAGAGGGGTAAGCATTGTAGCGATGTTCATAGAGCCAGTCCCTGAGGATCTGCACCGACTCCTTGGGTAGATTCCCACGCCTCTTCCTCTTCCCACTGCTACCTCCCGTGCTGGATGACAGGTCCAGGGGGGAGTCCATGCTGTCCTCGTCGTCCGTCTCACTACCAGACAACATCATCATGCCTGTGTATGGCGGAGAGGAATGTATGTGTGAGAGAATGTCAGTCAGAATTCCCCTTGTTATGCCAACCAAACACTGGTCTTTCTGTCTGTAGGCCTGTCTGTCTGTCTGTAGGTCGGTGTCTGTCTGTCTACCCCTCTGTCACCCTCCTTACACCAGCCCTGTTCCAAACACTAGCTATATAGCGGAGGCAGCTGATGTGTCAGAAGCAAGCTGTCAAGTTCAGCCATGTGATTCATGGAACAGGGAGGTGGGGGGGAGAGGGGGAGGGGAGAAAGGGAGGGGGAGGGAGGGAGGGAGGGGAGAAAGGGGAGGGGAGGAGATGAGGGGAGAGACGTCACAAAGGCAGGCTGCTCAGATGCTTGTCAGTTATAAAACCTGCCTTGACAAATACTGCTGGCCTACTGTACTGAGCAAAATGTCTCTTCATGTTTCAAAACTGACAGTGCAGGAAGCCACTGCAGGACTCAAGACAACTGAAATAGTTATTAAGGGGGATTTCCAAGGCTATAAGAACATCTGTAGTCCATTTGAATTACATTCATGTGAACCTCTTATTTTTGTATTCTTTGACATAATGTTTTGACACAACCTTAATGTCAGGACAACATATTTCTTATTTGGCAATAAAACAATTTAAAATCAAACGTTCTTTGGCAACATTATTTTTTAGCAATTTGACTACATTTAGCAGTTACATTTCAAAAACTAAACATCTGTAATGTCTTGAATTGGAGCATGAAACCATGTCAATATAATAAAGGGATATCAGTCATCCGTCTTTGGCATAGTGGTGGGAAATGGATAAGAAACTACTGAAGTTGGAATGAGGTAATTACGTCGGCCCTGGGTGAGGGAAAAGGAGGGGGACCTGTTGCAAATCAGCGTCTCGAGACTAAACAAAAGAATCTTGGTCGTCGAACAATTATTTTACTATAATGTCAACGTTTCTGAAAGCGTAACCACTAATTTCTTACTTAAGTCAAGTCTACTACTCATGTTCAAGTGAATTGAGTGTTTTGTAAACTCAACTCAAAGGACTTTCTACGTTTAAACAACGTGTAGAAGAAGTTCTATTGTGTGATCTTGTAACACGAGGTCGAAGACTGCGAGAGAGCAGCCTCGCAGAATGAAAGTAAACAGCAACTTCACAAAGGAGGTCAGGATTTGAACGTTGTGGCTCTAAATTTAGGGCTGAAAACTTTACAAGTTTCTCCCTAATATAACTTAATAAGATTCAATTTCGAAACAATATTACACAGAAAAGGAAACAATGTAGCAGCCAAACTAACAGAGGAAACTTCATATGAGCTTGATACATTTTAATTCACTAAATGTGTGGCGACGTAAGGGTTTAGAGGCCCTCTAATTTAGGCAATCACAATCTAGATGTACCCTAAAGGAATTATCCATTGGAAACTTGTTCATCATGAACTAAGTTTTCAGAGTCCGCTATACAGTTCCAGTATCTAACACTATTGTATAACAAAGTGGTTATGATATTTAGTAAATGTCTAGATCTAGGCAACCTTTAAAGCTAACAACTCCTTAAATTTGAAACAGATTGAATCAAAAGGCACACACAAACCATTCAATTTTGACAGCCCGCCAGCACGTGAAAAAAAAACAAGTGTTTTGTCTGGAGCGGAAACAATAGGCTGCATGGCTTGCATTGATAAATACATTATGCTCCATCTCACTCAATATATTTGATACAGACATGTTATCGAAAATGTGACAATCAGCACGCGGATGAAATAAAATACCTACCCTTTTTTGTCTTCATGTCCGTCAAAAAACCCCCTTTTCACGTTGGCCACGAGAGGAGCGCAGTAACCTATTTTTTTCTCGAATTGTATTCCTTTAGTGGCAGATCTTTTTCTCAGGATATTCCACACGTATATTCCAAATGGTTTTGTTCATGGATTTCTTTTTGTTTGTAGAACCGTTCGTCGGCTTTTTCATTTGTTTGAGACGTAATACTTTAACCAGGAGTAGGCTACCTGAAATCTGCTGCTCGACTTGGCGAAACCTTTCTCATTCAATGTGTGTTTGATCACGAAACTGGGTGACAGCTATCTTTGACAGCTGCGTGACTCAACGCACAAAGATCCTCCCACTTTAGAGGAAAGAGCACAAATCTCTGACAGCATGGCATTTGCATTGACATGAACACAATCTCACAGATCAACCGTTAGAATATATTCTATTTTTATGTTACAAATGTATGAATATAATTGAAATGCGAATGGAAGCTAATGGCATTGCAGATCTTGCAGCAGTTTTAGTGCACAATGTTCAAAACAACAACCGTAGCATTAGGTTACTTGTCATTAGTAGGCTATTTCGGACTTTGCTTCTCTAATTGGCTTTCCTACCTCCTGTATCACTTACTGTGTCCATGTTTTCATAAATAGCAGAGACCATTAGCATATTAATTATTTCATCAGCTAATGCATTATACAACAAATGTGATGGTTGTCAATTTGTCAACAGGGATATTATCCTATGTCAACCGTAAAGGACTGCCAATGTGATTTTACGCATGCACTGATATTTTCGAATAGCATTTGAGAGTGATTGCTTAAATACATCAATAAAAGTTATGCTGCATTCCCAGTACTAGCCTATCGTCTTCCGTTCAAGAAGGTGCTCAAAATGAGTGACATACAAAGGGGGTGTCTATTGGCCATGGTGGAACTGTTGTTTTAGCTGTGTCTGCGACTCCCTGTAGGCTGTCTACATGGTTTGGATGTTCTGCCTTTGTATCATTCTCACTTGGTCTTCCAATAGGATCTTGGCCATTTCATTACATTTTAAGCTACATATCTAGCCCGCATTGCAAAACAACGGCCCATGTGTTCAGACTGTGTACTACAGTACATGCACACACACTTCTTCACTTGTGTGTTTATTTACGGTGAATGTGGGTCAGTGTGTTTTCAAACGAATAATGTGTCAACGCAAAGCTCCATAGACAAACATTGGCAGTAGAATGGCCTTACTGAAGAGCTCAGTGACTTTGAACATGGCACATCATAGGATGCCACCTTTCCAACAAGTCAGTTCTTCAAATTTCTGCCCTGCTTGAGCTGCCCCGGTCAACTGTAAGTGTTGTTATTGTGAAGAGGAAACGTCTAGGAGCAACAACTGCTCAGCCATGAAATCGTAGGCCACACAAGCTCACAGAACTCGACCGCCGAGTGCTGAAGCGCGAAGCACATAACAATTGTTTGTTCTTGGTTGCAACACTCACTACCAAGTTCCAAACTGCCTCTGGAAGCAACGTCAGCACAAGAACTGTTCTTCGGGAGCTTCATGAAATGGGTTTCCATGGCCGAGCAGCGTCACAGAAGCCTAAGATCACCATGCACAATGCCAAGTGTCGGCTGGAATGGTGTAAAGCTCGCCGCCATAGGACTCTGGAGCACTAGAAACACGTTCTATGGCGTGATTAATCACGCTTCACCATCTGGCAGTCCGACGGACTAATCTGGGTTTGGCAGATGCCAGGAGAACGCTATCTGCCCGAATGCGTAGTGCCAACTGTAAAGTTTGGTGGAGGAGGAATAATGGTCTGGGGGTGTCTTTCATGGTTCGGGCTAGGCCCCTTAGTTCCTGTGAAGGGAAATCCTAACGCTACAGCATTCAATGACATTTTAGAAGATTCTGTGCTTCCAACTTTGTGGCAATAGTATGGGGAAGGACCTTTCCTGTTTCAGCATGACAATGCCCCCATGCACAAAGCGAGGTCCATACAGAAATGGTTTGTCGAGATCAGTGTGGAAGAACTTGACTGGCCTGCACAGAGCCCTGACCTCAACCCTATTGAAAACCTTTGGGATGAATTGGAATGCCGACTGCGAACCAGGCCTAATCGCCCAACATCAGTGCCCGACCTCACTAATGCTCTTGTGGCTGAATGGAAGCAAGTCCCTGCAGCAATATTCCAACATCTAGTGGAAAGCATTCCCAGAGGAGTGGAGGCTGTTATAGCAGCAAAGGGGGGAACAACTCCATATTAATGCCCATGATTTTGTAATGAGATGTTCGACAAGCAGGTGTCCACATACATGTAGTGTAGTTGGTATCGGGCATAGTGCATGTATCTCCAAGGAGATAGGGTAGGCCTATGTCAGTCCTACTCATTCTACTCCAAGTGTGGATATGTTATAGCATATATATGAGATAATAATTGATTACCCAGGAACCAATATACTCTGTAGGCCTATTAGGCTGTCCCGCGGAGGGGCCATGGAAGGGAACACAGTGAAAGGGTATCACCCCTATTCCTATTCAACACAATTTGTTACTATTGATTTTCTTTCTGTAAGTATGGGTCAGAGTACTACTTTGGCTGCGTTTACACAGGCAGCCCAATTCTGATCTTTTTGTCCTCTAATTGGTATTTTGACCAATCACATCTGATGTTTTCACATCAGCTCTTTTCAGAGCTGATCTGATTGGTCCAAAGACCAATTAGTGAAAAAAATATCCGAATTGGCTGCCTGTGTAAACGCAGCCATTGTGTCCAATCATTGTGTGGGGACTGCACTATTTTTAAAGAGCCCATGCCTCCCGCTATGGTACATAACGGCAGTGGTGTAAAGTAACGAAGTAAACATACTTTGCAGTACTACTTAAGTAGTTTTTCGGGGTATCTGTACTTTACTATTCATATTTTTGACAAGTTTTACTTTTACTCCACTACATTCCTTTTTCTTTTGATACTTAAGTATATTTTGGCAATTACATTTCAGACTAGTATTTTACTTGAGTCATTTTCTATTAAAGTATCTTGACTTTTACTCAAGTATGACCGTTTTGGGGTATCTGTACTTTACTATTCATATTTTTGACACGTTTTACTTTTACTCCACTACATTCCTTTTTCTTTTGATACTTAAGTATATTTTGGCAATTACATTTCAGACTAGTATTTTACTTGAGTCATTTTCTATTAAAGTATCTTGACTTTTACTCAAGTATGACAACTGGGTACTTTTTCCACCTGCATAACAGTACATGCCAGAATACTGGGTACATGATCACGTCGTCGTGAAAAAGCACAAATAAAGTACAGGGCTGCTCTCTGCTGGCGATAACTATACAATGCACTTTTCGTTTGAATAATATTCAGTGTTACGTTTTTCGAAATGAACAACATAGGCATACCAAATACTAAATTGGATGTAATTCGATGCATGCTCATTTGTTTAGAGGGCTTTTCTGCCCCATAGACATATAGTCCTACAGAAAATACATGAATCTTGTATAGTTTGCATACGTGGTCTTCTGTAGCTCAGCTGGTAGAGCACGGCGCTTGTAACGCCAAGGTAGTGGGTTCGATCCACGGGACCACCCATACACCAAAAAAAATAAAAAATGTATGCACACATGACTGTAAGTCGCTTTGGATAAAAGCGTCTGCTAAATCTGCTATTATTATACCTGCTTTAGGTGTTTAAAATAATACATTGAAATCAGAATTGAAAAAATACAAGGCCTCAAAACTAGCCTGAGTGCCAGTCTGTTTGTGCTATAATGTCTATTCCTTGTCACCCATTGTCATTCCAGACAGCAATGGAGTAGGACAGAGCACAACCAGATGTGGAAACAGGTTACCTCAAAACTACACATGCCATTGAATAAGCATGCCTAACAGGAAAGTTTGGGTATAAGAGTTTGATCCACCTATTTATAAATATCAAATGGATCAACCACAGGCTTTTCCTTTAGTTGACATGCAATGACAAATGTGAGCTGGTTGAAATGGAGATCTACCCCTCTCTGTGAGATGAGTCATGTCTATTTCAAAACCTCACAGCCTCATCATAGAATGTCGTTTCATTCGGTCACACAATACAGGTCATATAATACAGATCACATATGCCTAATATTTAGGCTGCTACAGATCTATCATATAGCCTAGTGTGTCATCCACGTATTGATGGCAAATTATATAATGTGAAAGACATGGTGTTATAATAGTGTCATAACGGATTATCTTTCACATATATTTTCACATATTTTCTATATTTTGGAAAACAGACAGAAATAAAACATGACTGACATTTTTACGCACAGACAGTAGCCTACACTGGCAAATAACCACTAAAAGGCGCATGGATAGAAAATACATTAGACTGTATTGAATCCAATAAAATCCAACAAAAAGGCCATACAATAATTTTAAGGACGGGACATCACTTTACTCTCAAGAAGTAATAAGGTTTGTGAGGGTTTTTTGCGCAGATCCCTGCGCGTAACCGTGATGTAGCTTTTGGCACGCTTTGCGCATTCCAGAATGGCGACGCCGCCCTTGACGCCGCGGACTTGGGCAAGCGAAGTTCCGAGAGTGTGCTGTCATCAAATCCTTTTAATTCCCTCGCTGTGGTCATTACTGCTCTACGTACAACTACTTCAACTGTTGGCAATGAGGTAGGATGAAGTGGAGAAGGTCCGGTTACACTTTTCCTTTCTAAAATTAGGGAAACTGCGCTGACGCAAGATGGCTAAACTCGGTCCCTATGTGTGACAGCGGGAACAAGACCGTGGATCCATGGAAACGTACCCTACAATTTAGCTGTTGTTGATGACTGGTTGTATTTTTAGCCTTTGTTGTCATCTTTCCGTAACACTTGGTGTCCAGCATATTGTATAAAGGCGAGTCTTTCAAAATGCAGCTGTACAGCAGTGCTTTGACACACTATCCCGGATCCTCTCGCAAAGTTTCGATAACTATCACAAGTGGTACCACTACCGACCATTTGTCCAGAACAACAACGAGCTCCTCTGCAAATAATAAACCGATTAGGACTACTCCAGCAGACACTAACGGGAATACGGTAGGAGAGACGCAATCTACTGCAAACATGCCTGCTGCTGGTTTTTCATTTTACGAGGCTGCTTCCATGAAGCCAGTCTACTACACTTCTTCCGCAGAGATAATAATTCGTCGGCCTGACGGAGTTGAGAGATCAGTTCCAGTGCACATCATAAAGGAGACCCAAACCAAACGGGATCCGTCAGACTCATATTCACAAGATGTCCTGATTCAGCCGCGTGACCGAGAGGATCATTTGGATACAGACTTGATTGTGGACTTCATTGATCACTTGAGAGGTAGAGGGGATTTTTTCAGTGATTGTGAAAACGTGGAAAGTGAAAATAACCTGATAAATATTGACAAGAACGATGGACCAAGTTGCAGAAATTGTGAGGAGAGAATTAACATGGCAAATGGGGAAGGAAAAACAGTTACAAGTAACATTGTAAGCCCAAAACGCCATCGGAACATGGAGGCCCTGGCGACCCAGGATAATATAAATGACAGTGAATGCGCAGACCTGGACTTTCCATCTGGCGAGGCGCAGCTCTTTGAGCTCCATGTCCTACAGGAGCCCCCTCCCTCTCCACCGAGAGAAGCAGAAAAATGTGACAGCGACAAAGTGACGCGTTACATAGCGGAAGTGGAGAAACAGAATAAATACCTTCAGGAGAAGGCACACAAATACAGATTCCACATAATCCCTGACGGCAACTGTCTGTACAGGGCGGTGTGCAAAGCCACCTATGGAGAGCAGTCTATGCACAAGGAGCTGAGAGATCAGACAATGCACCACATAGCCGACCACCTGGATGAGTTTAACCCCATCGTTGAGGGAGATGTCGGGGAGTTCTTGATCAACGCAGCGCAGGACGGCGCCTGGGCGGGCTATCCGGAGCTTCTGGCGATGAGTCAGATGTTGAATGTGAACATTTACCTGACCACTGGAGGTAGCTTGGTGAGTCCCACGATTTCGACCATGGTGCACTACCTGGGGGAAGAGGACTCGTCCAAACCCGCTGTCTGGTTGAGTTGGCTCAGTAACGGACACTATGATGTCCTGCTGGACAGGTGTGTGGCCAACCCAGAGTATGACGACTGGTTCCGTCATTCTCAGATGCAAAGGAAACGGGACGAAGAGCTGGCCAAGTCGATGGCAGCATCACTGTCTAAAATGTACATCGAACAAAATGGTCACATTTGAAACCAATAGTTATCGGATTGCTGCATTGAAATATTACTATGTTACAGTAGGCTAGCTGTTACGTAATGGGCCAATCATCTCTGCTGATAGTAGTGGAGCTTCTGTCATCTGAGGTCTGAGAGGGCCTCAGTCAGCACCTGGGGCCCCTGTTGGCCCCTGTGCTAAGGACAGCGCTCCTCACAGCCCAGCTCACGACTCACCCTGGGCTCATACCTTCTCTCTCTCTCTCTCTCTCTCTCTCTCTCTCTCTCTCTCTCTCTCTCTCTCTCTCTCTCTCTCTCTCTCTCTCTCTCTCTCTCCCCAAATCGATTGCACTTTAATTGTGTGTGTGATTTCAACATTTATTTTTCAAAGTGTTGTATTGTAACCGAATTGAAGTGCAGTGCACTTGTTATATTTTGATATTTGTGTTGTAAATAGTCTAAATGCCAAAAGTGACACTTGAAGGAGATTGTGTGTTTTTTCCCTATAGGCTACATTAATGCGTTTTATGTTTGAGCACTTAGGGGAGACTATTTATTAGGTTTTTGACCGGTTCATTGCCATAATTATTTTTGTATTATTACATGATCTTTTAACAGTTAAGCTGTGTTGCTAAGCTTTATGCCTTTGTGAGGTGCTTGGAGCACAAAGAGCAACATTGTTTTTAAACAAACATTTGAAATAACACTTTTGGTGTTCATTTGACTTTGTCTTACATTGACATTATTTAAATCCCCATGCAAGATAATGCACACGCCGCAGTGCGCGCACACACACACACACACTTTCTATCTAGACATGTAATAGGGGCAATCTCGGCTGCTATTATTATTAAGTAACAATACAATACAAATACAAATGGCTGGGTTTATATTTTGCTTTATTCCCCTGCACAACCGTTAGATGGCGTATTAGACCCCTCAATTGATTTGTTTCACGGGATTGATTGAAACATGCCCAAGTAGGCTATGAAGTCGAATTATCTTTACAACTAATTATAATTTCGCGTGGTATTTAGGTAGACAGTAGCCTAGCCTACACATAGCATCAATACGCATACACTATGTGCAAAGGAACGTTTATGCACGTAGCCATCCTGGCTACTCCCCCATGTCAGGACATAATTACCGTTCTCCTAGCAGCAGGATATTATGCTGGCAACACGATCGCGGATTTTTTTTCTCACTGCATTGCAACTACTTTTGACAAAATAAATGGGTAATTTGACGTACTTTTATTTGTAATATTGTATTAATTATACCAGCATTTCTTTAGAACGTTTACACCAATACTGGTATGTTGAAAGCTATTGTGTAGGCTATATTTTAAGAAATACACTTTTAGTAAAATACTAATATATGTAATTGGAGTTATTCAATAGTGTCTGCGAAACTTAAATTGGTCTCTTGTGCTGACAAACACGTTTAATACAGGGTACTTGTGACTCCTTACTCCACCCACTTCATTCACTGCAATGCAATACGCTGTATATGAATGACAAGTTTCACGTTTTATTAGTATTATATACAGGTTACAGGATACACATGGTATACACCATCCAACGAAATGCTTACTTGCAGGTTCCTTCTCAGCAATATAACAACAATATAAAATAGTAAAGATAAGAATATGAACATAAAATAAATGGCTCAGGAGAATAGAATAAACATTTTAGCATAAGTATAATACAGGAATGCACAATTTATAGTACAATGTTTACACATGTATCAGGGAAGGGGGAATTGGGGGAAAAGTGTTTAAATTGTGCAGTATTAGCAATAGTAAATAAGAGTCTGGTAGCAGAATTTGTGATGTGTGTGTAGCCTTCAGAAAGTATTCATACCGCTTGACTTATTCCACAATTTTTTGTTTTACAGCCTGATTTTTTTATTGCCCATCTGCAAACAATACCCCATAATGACAAAGTGAAAACATGTTTTTAGTAATTTGGGCAGATTTATTGAAAATGAAATACAGAAATATACCATTTACATAAGTATTCACACTCACAGTTAATACATGTTAGAATCACCTTTGGCAGCAATAACAGCTGTGAGTATGTTTGTGTAAGTCTCTAAGAGCTTTGCACACCAACATTGTTAAATATTTGCACATTATTCTTTTTTATATTCTTCAAGCTGTGTCAAGTTGGTTGTTGATCATTGCTAGACAGCCATTTTCAAGTCTTGCCATAGATTCTCAAGCCGATTTAAGTCAAAACTGTCACTAGACCAGTCAGAAACATTCAATGTCGTCTTGGTAAGCAACTACTGTGTATATTTGGCCTAGTGTTTTAGGTTATTGTCCTGCTGAAAGGTGAATTTGTCTCCCAGTGTCTGTTGGAAAGCAGACTGAACCATGTTTTCCTGTAGGATTTTGCCTGTTCTTAGCTCTATTCCGTTTTTTTTTTTGTTGTTAATCCTAAAAAGACTCCCTAGTCCTTGCCGATGACAAGCATACCCATAACATGATGCAGCCACCACCATGCTTGAAAATAGAAAGAGTGGTACTCAGTGATGTGTTGTGTTGGATTTGCCCCAAACATAACATAACATAATGTATTCAGGACATAAAGTGAATTTCTTTGCCATATTCTTTTCAGTTTTACTTTAGTACCTTTTTGCAAACAGGATGCGTGTTTTGTTTTATTTTTATTCCGCACAGCCTTCCTTCTTTTCACTCTGTTTGCAAAAAGTTAGTATTGTGGAGTAACAACAATGTTGATCAATCCTCAGTTTTCTCCTATCACAGGCATTAAACTCTGTAACTATTTTAAAGTCACCATTGGCCTCATAGTGAAATCCCTGAGCGGTTTCCTTTCTTTCCGGCAACTGAGTTAGGAAGGATGCCTGTATCTTTGTAGTGACTGTGTGTATTGACACACCATCCAAAGTGTAATTAACTTCACCATGCTCAAAGTGATATTCAATGTCTGCTTTTTTTATGTTTACCCATCTACCAATAGGTGCCCTTCTTTGCAAGGCATTGGAAAACCTTCCTGGTCTTTGTGGTTGAATCTGTGTTTGAAATTCACTGCTTACAGATAATTGTATGTGTGGGGTACAGAGATGAGGTAGTCATACATTTTTTTATGTTAAAAACTATTACTGCACACAGAGTCCATGCAACGTATTATGTGACTTGTTAAGCAAATTTGTACTCCTGAACTTATTTAGGCTTGCCATAACAAAGGGGTTTATTACTTATTGACTCAAGACATTTCAGCTTTTCATTTTGTATTAATTTGTAAACATTTCTAAAAACATAATTCCTCTTTGACATTATGGGGTATTGTGTGTAGGCCAGTGACACAAAATCTCAAATTCAGGCTGTAACACAACAAAATGTGGAAAAAGTAAAGCAGTGTGAATACTTTCTGAAGGCATTGTATAGTTAAATGGGGAACACTTTACTTGACACCCAGCATCATAACACATTATGACACGGTCATAACCATGTCATAATATGTCATAACAGCTGACATAACTTGTCAGAACCTGTTATAATATGTTCATAACATATATTGCGTTATTTTATGGCTGGTTATGACATCTACATAAGAGTGTCAAAACTCACAAAACCTACCACACAAGGCAAAACATTTCATTACACCACGCCTACGTGTCAACAGTATGTTTATGTCATATATATATTTTGTAATTTACCGTATTAAATTATCATTGTAATTGCGCACACATTGATGTCAGACATGCACCTACCGCAATGCTCTGTTGCTGACGACTGGGCTGAATGCAGGAGCAGATTTCAGGAGCAGGACAAGACACCCTCTTTTTGACTGATGACTGATATAAGGGCATGTATGTGATAGGCCTATCTGGCTTATATGATTATGATGGTCATAATGCTTCTTGACAGTGTCATAAAGTCTATTTTCTTAGTCCAAGTAAAGTGACATAGTATGGTCATAATGCTTCATAACAGTGTCATAAACATTTAATATACGATAAAAAAACATGACTGTAAAGAACTTATTTACCTAATTTGCAGACGCTCTTATCCAGAGCAATGAGGGTTAAGTGCCTTGCTCAAGGGCACATTTTCACCTAGTCAGCTTGGGGATTTGAACCAATGACCTTTCATTTACTGGCCCAACGCTCTTAACCACTATGCTACCTACCCCCCAATGAAACTGGAGCCATGTTTATTCTAAATTGGTCCACATGGAAAAACTAAAGGCATAGAAACCGTAAATGACTTGGTAACAGGAAATACATTTATATCCATGACAGAATTCAAAAGCAATTTTGGGCCGACCAATGTAAATATTTTCAAATACATGCAACTTTTAAGTGACATATTAGGAAATTTATATTTTAAATATTTTGGACATCAGAGCAACATTGAGGGAATCTTATTTGAGTCAGAAAAGTGTTCATATGATAGGTAAGATATACAAAAACTATCAAACGGACAATCTCTTAGAAATAAATAAAAACTATTGTAACGAAGACTTAAAAAGAACTGATGTTGGCACAATATGGAGGGAATGTTGGAGCATAACTAATGAAATTACAGTTAATGAAAATGTATGCTTAATCCAGTATAAACTAATGTATAGAATTTATTATACAAGAGACAAAATTCACAAATTCTACAGCACATCGGCAGAGTCTTGTCTTAAATGTACAACTAACAATGAATCAATAATCCATGCTTTCTGGGAATGCTATAAAGTCCAAAAGTTATGGGCGGAGCTAGAAAGTTGTCTGTCAGAGGTATTACTTCAGTGATACATGCCTGAGAAGCCAGTGTTTGGAGGATATATTGGCACGGGTGTTGTTAGGCCCAAGACGTAGTGTCAATATATCCTCCAAACACCGGCTTCGAGGGCATTATCACTTTTATTCAACAGGTTACCAACATATTCAAATAATGACTTATATATTTTCATTTTAAAAGTTATTTTGATTAATTTATTCATACTATTTCATCCTTCCACAAGATATAGTCCCGACACAAATCTAGGGTTGCTACCCAAGCCAGCTGGTCGTTCGTTC